CTTAATACCCGGGAACATATTTAACCCAAGAATCCACTGCCCTTTTCCAGCATCCAGAACTCCAGAGGTCCATGGCAGGGTGGGGACCTGTGCTTCTACCATGCACCTAGTGACTGTGGTCAGATGGCCCCAGGGCCACCTTGTGTGGTAGACATAGAGGAGAACAGGCCTTAAGGAAGGACTCAGCAGCCCAGACCCCAGGAAATGACCAAGCACTCTGGAACACAGGGAATTTCATGGGATGCTGGGAAGAAGCATCCTCCACCTCCCCCGGGGCTTGAGAACTGGCCAGGGCGGGCTGTGAGCAGTTCTCTCAAAAAGGCCCTAGAGAGGTCTAACTAGACAGGGGCTCTACTAGCAGAGCATGGGGCCACAAAGTACATCCTGGACAGAAAGTGCCCCTCGCAAGCCCTAGGAGACCACAAGGCTGCAGCCACCTGCCCCACAGCACCCCTGCCTGGACAGAGAGGTCAGGCAGGCCCATCCCTCCAGCCTTGGGGACAGATAGCCCAAGAGAGTGGGACATGGTTAGACCCACAGAGCATGTGCCAGCACCTGAGAGGCCAGTCCACCCTTGTGATCTCATGTGGCAGGAACACACCAAGGCCTGAGAGGAAGAGAGCCACCGTCCCATCAAGTGACCCCTGCCCTAAAGGCACCTCCCACATGCTTCCAAGTGCCATCCTCCTACAGGGATGCTGCCATCATCAGCAGAGGAGCCCAGGGGGAGCTCACACTTGCCAGGTGTGACACTCACAACTGCTGGAGCCCATAGCCCACATGGACCAGATGCCGGCTGGGCCGTGGGGAGGCACAGGCGGGGGAAGACAGCTGGTGCCTTATCAACAGCAGACGCACAGCCTCGTCCTTACTAACTAGTTTAGAAAAGAGACTATTAAAATGAAAAGGATCTGCATGGGAAGGAAGGAGCCACAACCTACCAGGAGTTCAATACTGTTTTAAAGAAAACCACTATCAACATGCGTCTGTGTCTCACTGTTGTGAAATGTGAACCGAGGGAGGCGCCCGATTAACCACCCAGCCAGGCGCTGGGGAGCCGGGACATTGGAAGTGCTGGTCACAGCCACATACCTATTATCATCCACACTGCAAAGCGCACCCACGTGCCTTGGTCCAGCTGCATCATGAGATAGACATTCACGAAGATGCTCAGGACGGGGAGAACCGGCAGGAAGGGCACCTGCAGAGACAGGAGGTAGTGTCAGACCTGACTGAGGGTGGCGAGTGAGCCACGATGCCTGTTTGAATCATTTAGCAAAAGTGCCTTGGAAAAGATAGTGTCCTTGAGAGTCACACGGACCATCAGGAAAGCACGGGAGGAGGAACTGTGTGCCAGTGTCCACGGCCCCCACCCACGCCCCAGTATGCACGCATGAGTGAGCACACGCACACACGCGCGTGCACACACATGCACACACACACACACACACAGGCGAATCCTAATAGGTGGGAATGTGGTTCTAAGCTACTCATTGCTAAAGTGCGCTGCATTCCAATTTTTGTCTCTTGCTATCCTCCTGCTACAGAAGGGATCAAAAGAGGGACTTCCATTTTATCTCTAAGGTCAAACTTTTCATTATTTGTACAAATATAATCTAAAAATGCAGAAGCCTTGATCATTTCCAAGGCTTGGAAATGACATGCAATCCACTAGCACAGACATTTACGAGAAGCCCCTGTGGACAAGGTGTGTCCTACCCCCCAAGAACAAGGGGGAGGGAGGGTGCCTCCTTCCAGAGTCAGGCCCTCTCTCTGCAGACACAGTCTGTGCCCCAGGGCCACCTGTCCCAGATCCCCCTGAGGCTGGCCTCCCAGCAAAAGGGCCAGGGTCTGTGGCCTACCAGGAGGGTCCTTACAGGCCTGTTAGACTGAGCTGCTCACCTTGAACGAGAGTTTTGTCTTGCTTTCGGACTGCCTCCAGATGATGCTGGTGACCACTGCACAGAGCAGGGCAGACACT